TTATGACCATCATTCTTCTTCTATCATTGATTACCTCTCTTTTAATAAGGTGAGCAATAAAGTATCAATAATTTTTTTAAAAAAATAAAAATAAATTATCAATAACAGTGATCCAAGACGAGGATGCTCTGTGCTTAACGATTTTTTATTCTAATCAGTTGGTTTTTAAAAGAAACTTAGACCAATATTATCGGCGTTGCTCAGATCCGTTCTTAACCAAATTAGCTCGAAAAATAAATCGAAAATAGGTAAAAAGCCTTGCAAACGGGCTTTAACTAAGGGATTTCTTTCTTCGTCCTTAACGCTAGGTGGCAGCAGTTGATTGGAGATGTAATCGAAGACGCAAAACCTAGCTTGAGTCGAGTTGTCTCTGTTTCATTTTCTCCGAAGGCGAAAAGTTTCTCGAGTCGGCGTATCATCCAGAAATCGAAATACAAACTCACTCCACATCGATATCCCGAAACGAAATCGAAAACCAAAGCTCTTCAATTTAGTTCCAGTCCGTCTCTCTTTCATTATCCCCGCTCTGTCGCTTGAGTTCCAGTCTGTAACAGGATAAACCGGTCTGTCGCAGCTTGGCTGCATATTTCAATCTTAGCAAGGTATGTGTTCCTCCTCCTTCGCAAGATTGTATTGTTATTTCGTGTTTCTCGTATTTTTAGAAAAACTGTGTAACGCCCTGACCGTCCACAGCTAATGGGCCACCCACGCCCGCTCTCTCGGCTTGTGAGCCCCATCCCGTTCCAACGGTTGATCCGTTAATTTTCCAAGGCTCTAGAGTCATGTTTACTGACCCTACAATCACCACCCGACCTTTCCCCGTGCTTTGGACTTACTTACACGGTATCGCGAATCACTTCCCGATAGGTCACCCATCCTTTGACTACTCCATCTCAAGCACGCTTAACTCTGGAGTTCTCTCTGGATGTGCTCCCGAAAAGGTAAGTGCACTTTGGTTACATAGGTAGCCAAATCAATTCTCTTAAGCCTTTCCATATACCATTAAACCGGGATGTTACAAACTGATTCTATGGATGTCTGAAAGATTACATCGTATTGAGATTGTATGGTTGTTTCGTTTTGAGATGACATTGTATTGAAGATTGTATGGTTGTTTCGTTTTGAGATTACATCGTGTTAAGATTACATCGTTTCGTTTTGAGATTGTTTGGTTGTTTCGTGTTGTTCGTATTTTTTTAAAAAAAAAGAAAACTGATCGTATTTAAGAAAACTTGTGTTAAAAATTGCTAATTTGTGTAAAGTTGTGTAGATCGAATTGGTGTTTCTTATTTACTTGCTTGCTTTCTGTGAAAAAAAAGAGAGAAACATTTGTCTAAGTTAACTTTAACTCTTGAACTCTTTATTGAACTAGAATAACCATTTCCTTCAAAGTACGATAATTGTTAATGTTATCTTGCGAGTTCCATTTCACTGACGTGGTTACAGGTGAGTTAGATAGGTTTTATTCAAGTGTAGTTTGTTATAAACCAAATCTCCTTTTTAATTTTCTGAACTTGTTATGATAGTTGATAGCTTTATAGTTGGGTAATAACTTCTGCTAAGAATTTTCTAGTTTATGGTTAGTCATTATGTGGGTGAATACATATTACACTTCACTTGCTCCTATTAACCCCATCCTTCCATCATTCTATTATGCGGATCTACCCTTCTCACTTCTATAATCATTCAAAGCTTTCTCCTCTTAAATTCCTTCTCGGTATGGATTCAAAGTATCGTCCTACTCAGTCCTCTAGTTATGTAGAACTTCTTAACAGTCAACAAGGATGTGTTCACCACGAAAACTTTCCTTATGAAATTTTTCATTCTAGTGTTAACTTTAGAACATCTGAATTCCCTCCTTTCAGTTCACAACAGTCAAACGCTCCACCTCCACCTCCATCAGTGGCCGGAAAAGAGAGGAAAAAATGGATCCCAGCTGATGATGAGGTTCTGATAAGTGTGTGGCTAAACACTTCTTAAGACGCTGTTGTTGGTAATGAACAGAAGTCAATGACCTTCTGGAAATGAGTAGGAGCTTGTTATGCGGTAAGTCTTCATGGTAGACATGATGGTGAAAAGAGAGATCATCTTCATTGTAAGCAGAGGTGGGACATAATGATGGAAAGAGGCACGCATTTTGTGGAGACGGTAACTTCATATGACCTCTGGATATGGCACGCATTTTTTGGAGCTCCAGGTACTATGAACGATCTTAATATTTTTATCACATGTTTTCGATGACATTATTAATGGTGTTCCTCCGGAAGTCAACTTCTTTGTTAACGCAAGGAAGTAGCATTTCGCTTACTATCTCACGGATGGTATTTATCCCAAATGGGTGACTTTTATTCAATCTATCCGACTACCACAAGGTCCGAAAAATTCGTTATTTGCTAAAACCCAAGTATCAATTCGAAAAGATGTTGAGCATGCCTTTGGAGTCATGCATGCTAGATTCGCCGTGGTTAAAAATCCATCTAGATTATGGGATAAAAGCAAAGTAGCAAATATTATGAGAGCATGTATCATACTCTATAATATGATTGTCGAAGATGAAAGAGATTCATACATTCAATATGACTTTTTAGAATTTCAACAAGGAGAAGATGAGGATCTTACATATTCCGTGGAAATGGCTACAAGTCTCGGCAATACGCTTCAACGAGGAACAAGAGTTCGGGATAGACAAGTCCATCAACAATTAAAATATAATTTGATTGAAAATATGTAGACTAAATTTGGACATCTTCAAAATAACATATAATGTTTAAGTTTCTATGAATTTAATAAAATGTTTATGGTGTTTGTAATTTTTTTTGGCAACTTTATAATTTTCTTATATTTTCAATTTTAATGATATGTTTTATTTTAAACTTATCTATTATATGTTATTAGTTATTAAAATAAACAATTAATTTATGCTAATGACTTAAAAAAATCCTACCAATAATCTGATTTTTAACGTTGTCTCTTACCTTTGTCTTTAAACATCCAAATAATACTAAAATTTGCTAAGGACTAATTTATGAGTCCTACCAATAAACACGCCATGTCGACTAGTGAGGCCCAGGTTGTTAGTATTATTTTAAAATATTATATTACATTTAGTTAACTTTTAAGATTTAAGAATTTTATTAATCAAAATAGTTTGAATTTAAAATCTAACAAATCTCTTCGAAATCAAAGAAAGTATTCAAATTAATTTAATGCACATGAATATTTGGCTTCATATTGTAAAGAGTTTCATTTTCACTAATAATTTTGAATTACCCTCAATTTTAGCTGTTTGTATTCAAACTTAATTATGTACTAGATTTTAACCGCGCAACTGCACAAATTTTTTTTTAAGCTTTATATATATAAATATTTATTTTCGTTTGTTAGTAGTATATGTTTTAATCAGATAGTTAAATATTATTTAACTATTAATACAATAATTATATAATTTACATGTTTTTTTGGTGTAAATGTTAAATTTACATGTTGTAATTAATCAATTACCTAAAATTGTTACATGTATTTGTGGCTTCTTATTATAGATTTATCTTATTGTATTTTCATTTAGTTATTAAACAAATTATTATGTATGTATGAAATAATGACACAACATATTTGAAAATTATTTTGTATTTAATTTATGTTAAATTTGGACCCATCCTTCAAATTGTATTTTATTTTAGCAAAATTTCTTTATTTCTTTGAAATAACATATTATTGTATATAAAATATTATAAGATATGTAAAATTTTATATATGTATTATATAGTTTGCTAATGTTAGCCTGTTTTACTAACATATTATCTTTTTTGAACAAAATATTGTATACTTTTGGAAATAAATAAATACGTATATATATATATATATATATAAATTTATCAATTTAATATAAGTTATAAATTTACCTCAATATAATAATTCTCTTTTATATGATTTACTATGATTATATAATAGATAAAATAAGATATAATTTTTATTTTTATTTTATGAACGATAACTGAATATAATAGTTTATTGTTAATTACAAAATTATTGAAATTTTTTACATAAATTTTTTGAAATTAAGTTATTGTTAAATTATCTTTCAACAGATTGTTTTTAATTTTCTAAATATATATATATATAAATAAATAATCTAAACTAATGATGTAATTAGAGAAAGTATTTACATATAATTAAAAATAATATATTGTCAAAAAAATTTGAAACAGATTTCTTAGAAATTTTAAATTAAATATTAATATTTAAAATGAAAAGATATAAAAAAATATTGTGATTGAAGTAGTTCAAATATTCTATATAATATTAGTCTTAGTAAAATTTCTAAAAGATACTCCAAATGAAAAATATCAAACAAGAAATAAATCATGAATTCTATTTGAATAGATAAGATCCAAAAACATTTTGTAAACATTTTATGCTTCTGTTCTTCTTTTTCTCAGTCGGTGCTTCTATCTTTTTTAGTTATAAATTTTCAACATTACTATATTTAAATAAATTTATCATGATAAATGATAATGATGGGTGGTATACTATTTTAATTTAATAAAATTCTGTTATATAATGAATTTATAAAACAGGTTGCCGCAGAGCATTATCATGATCATTTGTTATAATTTACGCAACTACGCATGTATTTTCTCAAGCTTTTGCTAAAAATTGATTTACAATGAGTTTTCTGCCTTCTGGTATATACCAAAGATTTTGTCAAAAAAAAAGTATATATCAAATATTATGTAGTAATGTACATTTCTATTTTTTTTTCATTCATCAATTCTGTAGACGAATGTCCAAATCAACTTTTTTTTCCTGAAAAGCATTAAGAAATTGCATAACATACACATTTCTTTATTTGTGGGTTCCAGTGAATCAACATAATCTCATGCACACCAAAACACTGAAAACTTTTTGGTCCCATACCTTATTCTTTATGATGGATAATAAATAAATCACTCATATGCCATTCCACATCACAATTTTTCTTGTCCTTTTAATTTTTTTTTTTATCTCAAAACATTCGTTATTTCTTTTCATAAGTTTTTATTTAAAACATAACCCGATATAACATCCTTCTTAAATAGAATATAAAAATAAGTTCTTCTTAAATAGAAAATATAAATAATGTATGGTTTTGATAACAAATCCACATAAAAAAATCAGTTAAGAGGAGATCTTCTAGAAATTCCTTTTCTCTTGAGTATCCTCATGAGTGGTCTCAATGTAAAATTACTCAATAAAACTTCGGACTCTTCTGAAACATCGGTGAGTGATGATGTGCATGATTTTTTCTCTTCTAAGTTTTCTTCTCGATTATAATGTTCTTTCTTCAAAGCACTTTGGTTTGTTTCTGGATTGAAACAAAATTTGTGCTTCTTTGGAGAAGCTGAAATCTACAAAACAAAGAAAATGTCATTCAATTATTTGACCATAAACGTAAAACATAAATTACTGTATGTGATTTCAAATGAATAGTGAGAAAATCACGTTTTGAAACGTGTATACGACGTGTATACAATTCACTTAATAAATAATGTCCAAATTAACGTTTAAGAAGATGAAACGCCTGTGTCAATGTACTCAAATGATATAACAAAAAGAAAACTAATGATTTTTAGAGAAAAAGCTAAAATGAACTTCAAGTATATTTTCTAAGGCATGAACCTCGAGTATTTCATATTGTTGACTCTAAAACCAAAGAAAAATGTATTGAATGTGAACTGTATAATTGATAATGTGTACAAATTCAAAACACGCATATTTATCTTATGTTAGAGATATGTCTCATTGATCTACTAAAGATTTAACTTTCTTTTGAAATTTCAAGATTATTCTGTTAAACATTTTGTATACTACCTTGTAGTCAAACAAAATATTTTAAATACCTTTTCATCAAAACATTTTGTATACTTTTGCCAACTATTAATATAAAAAAAAAATCTAAATGCATAACTAACAAGATAACAATAGATTTATCAAAAAAAATCATAGGGGAAAAAGAACTTTAAAAGATATTTACCTTGCAAGAGATAGAGCAAAATCGATTAGGACGATCTTGAATATATCTTTTACAAGTCACGCATGAACCTGCATTCTTGGATTTTGTTGAAGGTCTTGCATCTTTTGCTTGTGGCCTCGAATTCAAATGTATAGCTTGTTCTCCATTTATTTTATACGTCTTTTTCAATAGACAAATTATTGACAACCAACAAAAAAGAGGCAAAGGCAATACGTCAATTTAATTGGGAACTTCATAGACTCGTTCAAACCAGAAGTTAAAAACAAAAGTAGCATCAAGTAAAATTAAATTAATATTATAATGGTTTAAAATAAAATTATAATAATAATATTAAAGAAAAACCTGTATCTCGGAGCAATCAAAGTAGTGTTGAATATCGAGGAGACGCAGAACATCTTGATAAACGTATTTGCAAATTTGAAGACGACGATGGAGGAAGTGAGGTTCTGTGTTACAACAATGTCTGCATATTTCGACATTGCAATCAATGCAAAAGACATTCTTCTCGTTCTTTCGAAGATACTTATGATTCACACATATCCCAAAGAACTCTAAGCTCAATAGTGTCGTAATCCAATCTTCATCAACTCCTCTCTTCTCACTCTGCAACTAATATTTTTTCTAAAGTTATTAATTTTCTTCCGAATATCTGCAGAAATTTGGAAAGTTGACTAAGATGTATATGAATTATAAATATGGTTGTACGAAAAGTTTTAATCGACTTGATTTCAAAATTTAATATCAAATCTGTAGAAATTTCAAACTTTTATCGAGTTCATATAAAATGATCTACATGCAATCATTTGAAACTTTAATTAGATTGGTTCGGTTGCAACAATAAAAATAGATGGATCTGCAGAAATTTGAAAGTTTATTAAAAAAATTAGAATTAATAAATATATTAGACTGTTCTAAAGGATAAATTCTGCAGATTTTTTTCTTATTTATGTTTTTTTAATGAAACCAAACAGTGAAATCTAGTGATTTATAAGCAAAGAAAAGGATGAGATCTGCAGAAATTTTGATGCTTTATTGGTGTTTCTGATGAATTGATATACAAATGAAAATAAATAGATGAAATTAATTGGAAAAAATAAAGTTGTATAAAGGGTTACCAGATTCATTTGGGTATGAGAAAGTGAACTCCTTCAATGGATCAGATGAGCAGACTTTTCTATCTCTTCGATCAACATCATCTAAGAAAAATCTAAATATTTAAGCCCTTTTTCTATAAAAAAAAAAAATCTAAATATTTAGGGTTCTTGGGGAAGAAGAAAGAGAGAGAGGAGCAGCCAAAAGAAAAAGAAACGAGTGAATGTAGTGTGAATAAATAGTAGGCGGCCAAGGAAATGTAAACAAAATATATTAGGAATATATGAATTGCATATATTGTGTTTTGTGAGAAAGTATATAAACTAAAAAGGAAAACAGAAGAAAAAAAACTTTATAGCTTAAGCAGGGGAAAATGAAAAGTCCAAATAGTCAACAATAACTGTGGCTCTTTTTAAGTTTTAACCTTCAAAGTTTATCCTATTCTTACGAATTAGTCTATATGTTTAAATCATATGAAACATAATTTGACTTTGAGAGGAAAATGGTAGTCTCTATAATTTAGATGGTGCGATAAATGTAAGGAAATCTTCCAATATTTACTCCGAAGTTTCCAAGGAAACTAGCCTGTTAATTTTGGAATTATATCCTTCTGTACATGACTACATGTACTACATAGGAATATTAGTTAAAGATAAACGGCTCGCGATGCATATACAACACAACTAGGTGATAATTTGAGCTCTACGCAGAGTGAATGAATTCAAAAGAGTATATATTATCAAATCATCTATAGATTTAGAAATTCAAAAATCAAAAATATGTTAGATAATGATATATCTTATTATAATGTGCATGTTTATATAATGTAAAATTATTTGTTTTTTTACGAAAAAATTGTATAATTGAATATATGCATTAAAGTCTATTACATGAAAAAAAATAAGATTAAGCAAAGACTTATTGAAATTTATCATAAGTTTAAATAAAAAATCATTGATAATATAATTATTTAATTCATCATAGAATTATAAAAATAATAATTAAAGCAACGTAGGTAATAAAAAAAAAAATTAAAACACCAAATCATCATAAGAAAAATTGTCTTCAAAATTCCTGATTAATCGACGCATGGATTTTATTTCCGTGCAGAAAAATTTAGATATCAGATACATCCTTTATATATTAATCCTGGAGCATTACAATATATATTGGTAGCCATGTATCATTACTACGTTGATTCTTAGAATTCTTAGAAAAATAACTGGGTCCATCTTAATATATAGTATAATTTTTATTAAATTAACTATGCAATTAATTGGTAGTGTATAAAGAATATTCTCTATTATTTCTTTAAATAGAAGCTACAAAATTTCCTAATATGGTTGGCAAATATATGATAATTAATGATTTTTAATAATAAAGATTTGATAATATTTTTCAATCTTCCATCATTTTTTTATATTCTAAAATAAATTAAACAATCATATTAATAATATAAGAAAAAAATTAGATTTTTTCTTATATGCTATTTTTGAAAAACAAAATTAAATGATTACAAATTACTAAAATTGTTAAAAGTCAACATTGAAATTTTTGTGATTAGTGATTTAACTTTTTGTTATAATAAAATACAAATGATCATAAAATAAAATAATTATGAAATCTCTTTAATATATATTCAGAGTAAATACACATATATATATATATATATAATACATAAACATGTTAATTTCAAAATTTACTTTAAGTAGGAAGCATCGGTTAATAAATATTCATATAAATAGAAATAATATTTGTTACAGTAAATATAAAAATGTTAGTTAAATCATATGAGTACAAACTTCAATTAATAAATATTCATATTAAATATATATTATATTATATAATTTTTTAATATCATTTAAGTTTAACTATATACCATATAAAATAAATAATTAATTATTTTGATTTTTACCAACAAAACAAAATTCTAAATACAAAGAGATATGGTTTTCATTTATATATATGTTTACTCCAGTTTAACTATATATGTAATAGTTACTCGTTTCTCAATTATTCAATATACTTTTACTGCATAATACGTCAATGAATAGAAAATAAATAATAATATGTATAAATGATTTGTATACATAATTAATGTTCATTCCGCGAAAGTGTGTCTCTCAAAAGTTATTTATTATTGCAAAAATACAATTTTTCATATCAAAGTGAGATGGTGAATTTTAACACCCGAATGATATTATTGAAGTCCAATGTAAATAGATTTTAAATAATCAAAAATATCAACAAATATTATCCTATTCATCAACCTTTTATTGACGGTCAAAATTATAACATGATGGTTAAACAATCAAAATTAGTATTAAATGATTACTAATATATAAATTTTATCTGCGTATATGCGCGGATTATTACCTAGTATAATAAAATACACAGAAAATATGTATTGACAATATTGTGATAATACAAACGTACCTTTACATCTATGAAAACCATTTCTATGGTCTCTCCAAAAGAAGCAGAGTACTACTTCCAAAATCGTATTATTTTCACTCTTAACTTTCACATTGACTTCTTAGGCTTTAGATAAGCGATAAAATTAATGTCACTAATGTTATAAAAGTCGTATTTTGAAATGTTTAGGTTATGATGATGTTCTAAGATTAGTTTAAGGAAATATATATATATATATATATATATATATATATATATATATATATATATATATATATATATATATATATATATATATATATATATATATATATATAGTTCATAGAGGTTGAAATAAGAGTTAACTATGTATCATAATTATAGCCTAAAATCAAACCAAATAAAATCATTAATTGAAATCTCGCCTAACTAATAATTGGAAAGGAATATTACTTGAAATTATGACATGTAATATTGTTATATAAATTTTATAACATTTATATTTATAATATTGTTTATATAAATTCCAATATCATGGTCTCAAATCAAACAAAAATAAATCCCTAATTGAAATCAATAAAAACATAATTGGAAAGAAACATATTTTATGATATTATATTAAGATTATGTCAACAATATTATTATATAAAATTGATCACATTTATGTTTAGAATATTGTTTATATAAATTTGAATGTTCTTAATTATGACCTAAAATCAAGCCAAACCAAATTTCTAATTGCAATCAAAGAAACATAATTGGAAAGAAACATTTCTAATTGTAATCAAAGAAACATAACTGGGAAGAAACATTCCTAACTGAAACCAAATTCCTAATTGCAATTAAGGTTCCGAATGTTTCCAACCGTATCGCAGTTGATATAGTAACATAATTTTACGTATATATATATACTTATATATCTGTATGTTTTATCACTATTAAAAACGCACTGTAATTGTTTAACACTTGTTCCATGTGTTGTCATTCAGACTCATTTAATGACAAGAATTAACAGATTGGCCATAAAAAAATATCTCTTTGTTTTTGTGCATCATTCACCATTGTATCTCATTGCAATTTACTAAACTTGAAAAAAAAAAAAAAATCTGTTAGAAATATATTGTAATTTATCATACCAAATTCAAATTTAAACCAAAGTAGCACTTACCTTTTAAAACATATTATCTTATGTATGATTAAACATGATTTATATTTACGTATTTTTATTTTGTGCTCAGAATATTTTCATTAAAATAATTAGAAACAATAAAATTTTAAATAAATAAAAATTAATAATAAATTACTGAAAATCATTAACTCCTCAAATAAAAAATAGAAACTAAGTAATTTTAAACAATTTTTATGGTGATATCAATATAAAGCACGAAGAGATTTTTTCTGTTCAAAAATATTCTATTTAAATTTTAAGAAAATCAAAATGGTAGAGTTTGAAACTTTGCCACAATGCATGCAAAAATATTAATAACCACAGATAAATTGGAATATTAGTTGAAAATTTGGGCCATCTAGTAAAATAATAAGATATATAATTTCGTTATAAAATACCTCATCTCTATAAAATTACGTAGCTTGAATCCTAAACAAAATGTATGAATCTACAGACTATAAACCGCTCAATTATTTTAAAACATGAACTAAATATAGATAAAAGCTGGTAATTTTTTGTTGACAATCTTAAATTTATTTATTATTTGTGGTTGGAGAGAAAAAAAAAATTGTAAATGATGCATATATTAAACAATCAATAGAAAAAATTGTAATACGTTTACTCAAACATTTCAAGATTTTTTTTTTCTAACAACAACATCATAAGATTTTTTTTAAATAATATTTTAAGATTTCTTATACGACCAGAAGAAAATAAAAATATAGTTATCAGGTATATTCATTGGATCTCTATATGAACAGTTTTTCGAATGGATTCATCATCCCTCTATATATTAAATGAAGGGATTCATCATCCCCCTATATATTAGTCGGATCTGTTTTTCTAAAGTTGAAATCATTAAAGTGACTTCTGCTAACGTGGCACTCATACAATGACTTTAGAGATAATTCTTATAATTTTATTGGTCGAAAGATTTTGATTTTTTTTATTTTTATTTTTATTTTTTATTTGACGGATCACAAGCACAAAATAGTCTAACCTAAAGTGCCAAACAGAGTTAAAAGAAAGACAAAAAAAATTTCGGTTTGTGATTTTTGAAGTCTCTTCTCATGTTTCACCAGAAAGAAAAAAAAAATTGGGGACTAAACCGATCGGTGATTTTCGATTTGGTATCGCATCGGAGGATTAGAAGATGAGAGGAGATGAGAGGGAGTCGTGTTGGATTCAATTCGATTTGGGGATTAGGGTTTCTGTGTTCTTAGTATCTTTGGTTTATGTGCTTCTAAGATTGGACCTGTCATGTGAGCTTCATCGTGGCATGTTCTTTCTGAGACTACCAAAGCTCCTTCCAACAAGTCTTCCTTTGACTCATGACTCGTCGATGTAGCTTCATCTGTTTCTCAGGTTTAGTTTGATTCTCGTGAGACCTTATTGGTTACGAGTGTTTGTTTGATTGTTGAATAAAGCTTTGTTTCGTGTAGACCACTTGGTGAAATGATAATCACTGTGTATTATAATAATGATAGCTTCGCGCAATGGTAATCAAAGTTTGCTTCTTTTTTCATTTGAAGCTGTAATCTGGAAAACGAAGTGCTTAGTTTGATATACGCCTTCACTTACGCATGTGTTACTGTGTATGTCACACTTAATCTTGAGATACATAATGATAGTGTTTCCATGTATTTGATATAGGGAGC